CCTCTGAGTCTCAGGCACACACTGAGACAGTGGGACCAGGGAAACCACAAAGAGTAGCTCTACCTTAAGAAGATGCTTCATATCATTTTGCTCACACTCCATGGAACAGATATTTATCCACACTAAGAAAGCTAGATTCATTAGGCATTGTGAAATACAGTCTAGCTGGCAACCTGTATGCTAAGAAAATAAAGGATGTTTTATTGTAACCAAAGAAAATGAGACTATGTTAACCTTTTCTGCCACATTAAGAAAGTAAAGCTAAAGCTGGACTATGGAGATGTAACACTGAATACTAAATAGAAATGTAGAAAATGTAGACACCAGATATGATTAAATAAAATCTCAGTTGCATAAAATAGAAAAGAAACTTTGAGTTTACTGGTTTGTAATTAACTCCTCTAGTTGCATTTTCTATAGATGAATTTCGTTTAAAAAATCTAAAACACATAATCTAATCTTTTTCAAAGTAAATTCTAACATGATGTAGCTGTCTTCATACTTTGCTAGTCTTTTTATACTGCATTTCCATGATTTTCCAATGGCAGCTAAGGACAGAAAATGCATTTAGATCAAGAATATTTTTTAATTTCATAGAGTGCAAATGTCACTGCCATAGTTAGTGTTATCTAGAAGCAGAGTCTGAGACAGTGACTCAGTAGCAAATGATATATCAAGGAAATGCTTTCAGGAAAAACCAATGAGGGAAAATGAGGAACAGAAGAGAAAAAGTGAAAGCTCTGAGCATGGCTGTGGTCAGAACAAAGTCTAGCCTTGAGTTGTTCTTCAGGGAAGGACCTAGTCACAGACAATTGCTTCACCTTGAGGCAAGCAGGTCTCTTGTATCTGTGTGTTAGTCACAGGACAAATAGCCCCTGAGAATGGGAAAGGGATGTAGAGTGTAACTTGCCTTTCAGATGGTTCTTCTCAGCCAGCCAAGAACAATTCTCATTCTGCCCTATTGAAGGCCATTAACAGTTGAGAGGTTGGGAGAGGGACATGAGGGTAGAGAAACTGCATTAGCCAGAAATGAGGACCTTTTCAGCAGAGAAAAGCACATTGCTATGATCTACTCCTTTTGCTCATTCATCTCCAATTATTTCTTATAATATTCACTCCATCAAGGCAAATTTTTCAGGATTCTGAGAGGAAAATTCCTGGGGAAACTTTTAACAGGTGAGATACTGTCAGGAAACTGTAACCTTATTGGTGCATTTGGCTCCAAAGCTAATGCCAGTGCTTACTTACTGTGTCCCAGATTCTGGATTTTCCTTACCCTTGGCTCATGGCTTTGGTGATCTCCAAGGCTTCCCTGGTGAGTCAAATACTGTTTGAGGATCAAATATAGTAGCAGTAGTTGTAGTTTGTGCCTTCAATGCTCTTCTTGTAAATTTCTCCAGGAATTATAACAGAAAAGGCTTACACCTGAATAGAGAGAACTTAATTTGCGAAGCAAGGAGCATACTGTGGTAGAATCTGCTCTGATTCCTACTCAGCAATTATCAGATCAGATCCTTTCTCATTTATAGTTAAACTAAGTATAGAGATGCCAGGTAACCTTACTGATTATTTAGGTGCTAAACATAATTCTCCCTGTTCTTACTATATAGCAGCTATTCTACTTCTTCATGATGATCCAGCTCAGTTACCCCTACAAGGATGGTGACTCATTTCCATGTCTGCTGGTCTATTTGTACAAAGAGTCCAAAGTACCCAGGCAACAACTGCAGCATTCAGATCAGTGATCCTCTTACCATGTCCCCTGTTAAAAGAGTACCTCCCCAGGAACTAGATGCCTTAGACACATGGAACTTAAAAGTCATGAGGATAAAAAGCAAAAATTCTCTAAGAAGGTCATTGAGAATGATGGTGAGCAGGCCCACTCTTACATCTACTCCTTCATTCCTAGACTTAACTATACTATCTTTTGGAGAAACAGCATCAAATAGCTTTTAATTTAAAAAGTGCACTAAATACACTAGATATCCAAGTTGGACCCTCAATTCTATATTTTAAGAAGTCTTTCTATCACAGGAGCTTCTATATAGTGAACTATATTGATACTACCAGTGACTTGCATAGCCAAATGCCCACTTCCACACTTCCTTTACCAGAAAGTGGTTCCCTTTATCTGAAGGAATATTATATGAGATAACTTGTCAATGAGTCAGACACCCTGTGAGCCCATCACTCTGTGATGACCAAGACTGTGTGGGCAGAGAAAGAGAACTAATACTTTCAATACATGTCAAGCCTTACCTTGATGAATCACTATGCTTTTCAGGATGGAACTGTCTAATATTATCAATTTTACACTATGTGACAGGATACTACTATTTCTGGGACTTAGAAAATATCTCTGTTTCTGTCAGGTAAACATCTAGGCACAGCACTAACTAGAGCAGAGTTGAGGGAAGGAGGCTTATGCATCACTTCCATTTTGTGACCATGACTGCTTCACTAATGAGCTTTTTATATCAGCACTGCGTTAGTGAGAAAAAGACACTCATCCCTGGTAGTGTCCGGAACTAGTTGAATCACACTGTCCATTTGGTGTTTAGCACTTCTCCATTTGGTTTCCACTGGTGTACCTTCATGTACAATAAAGAACAAACTCTATGTAACTCTTATAACTCTATCCACATGCCTTTTCCTTATAACGTAGTAGCACTAATCTTAGCTTGGTTTTCCAAGTTGCCTGACCAACCTGTCCTATGGTTTTCATCGCTACTGATTAGTCTGTCACATCCTTACATTTGGCTACTAGACTACCAAACAAACAGTCATAGTGATATATGCTTATTTGTAATCCTAGCACTTGGGAGACTAAGGCAGAAAGATCATGTGTTTGGGGCTACATAGCAAGTTCAAGGTCAACCTGTACCACATAATAAGACTTTATCTCAAAAAAGAAAGAAAGAAAAGAAAAAACAAAAAAAGACCAGGTACACTGCCCAAAAGTCTGCTAGTTAGAAGGTTTCCATCAACCACCATTTTAGAACTACTATCCACCTCCAAGTAAGACAATAGTGTATTAGGGTCCATAGAATTTAACTAACAAATGAGTCAACCCATTCACAAACCAACTTGGGTTTTCCTTATTTATGAACAGTTTATAGGAAACCTATCACAAAACTATAGAAATAGCTGATGGAAAGGCATTAGAAGAAAGGTGTCATGTGACATAGGAACCTAGGCCACTTATAGGCAAAGGTCAGCTCGAGACCAATCCCAGAATACCAAGTGTATCTCTACTGTATTACAATGACCTTAGAAGATTTGGTGAGTTTGTCAGTACCAATTCATGATGGGTGGTTATGACCACATGATCACAAACACTCTTCTAGAGCCCAGCAGCATATCTGAAGCTGTTGTTTGAATTATTTGCTTCAGATGACATATTTTGCTGCAGAACCTTAGGGGATTTCTCTATACATGGGATTTCTCTTCAGTGGCTTGCCAGAAACTCCACCTGGCAAAGATGCCATAGTATCCCAGGTCTTCTATGATGTACGACCCAAGTGTGAGGGTGGCTTCTACCTGAGCTTTACCTAACCTCTGGCTTTGCTCTAGGCTCCATTCAAAGCTTTCTGTGTCACTCAATTAATCTCTCAGAGCACAATTCTCTACTGCAATAATATGCTGCTTCCAGCATCCAAAAAGTCCTAAACAAGCATTATGCTTTCTTCTTAGCAGTAAGAGTTGGTGTTTTCACTGACACTTTGGTATGGACAAGAGGTCTCAGTGTGATATAGATGTTTGCACTTCTGAATCTTCAGGGTACAGCAGACTCCTGAAATTTCAAATGATTGCCCTCTCCCCTCTGAATTGTGTGTGTCTTATCAAGGCAGCCACAATATTTGCCTTTTGTTACTTATCAGGTCCCATTAACATCGTGTCATCAGTATAAGAGGGCAACATTTGATTTTACAAAATATCCAGATGATCCAATTCCATTTAGTCTGTAAAATGATACTATGAAAAATAAGCATTAGAGCATTAAAACATTATTTTTTTAAAGTTAAATGTTATTTGAAGAAAATAATTTTTCTCAAGCATATTTTTTAAATTGCTAAAATAGTATTTTAAGCATAGTGGAGCATGCTTGTGGTACTAGCTACTCAGGAGGCTGAGGCAAGGGATCTCCTTGAGTCCCAGAGTTTGATACTAGGCTCCATAACATAGTAGGTAGGATGTCTTCTCAAATGACAATAATATGATAACAATACTATTTTGAGAAAAAGATTTTAATAACAGTTTCTTTTCTTTTAGTGCCTTTTATCTCTTCTTTTTAAAACAAAATTTGAAAACAGTAAAGGAAGAGATTAAACAAATTAAGTAAAATGAAATAGAAGATTTATTTTTTGGCTTCTTTAATCAAACATTGGAAGTTTGAGTATGAAAAACATTTCTTGATAGATTTTTCTATTTTTAACTGCATACATATGTATTTTGTGCTGCAGTAAAATATTGAGAAGTTTGATTTTCCAGCACCTATATTTGGCAAAATGGTCAAAAGAATCAAAACTACAAACAGCTCATTTGTCAAGTACTATTTTAAGAAATATTCATCAGAGAAACTCACATTGAATAGAGAATAACAAAATATTTGGCCTCTAATATTTAGATGTTTCAATGCAGAAAACATTAAAATTGAAAATAAGCTATGAAACCTTGGTAAGACTAGGCTAAGTTAGGACTTCTGATCTACAGATATAAAACCTAAACCCACAAAGGGAGCAGTAACTCAGGGCCTAGTAGCTCATCCAACTGGAGAGGTGACAGCAGGATTGATCCCACACTGAGCTACAGCCTGGAGGTAAGTAGAGGTGCCTATCACTTCATAAGGAAAGGATTTAGAAATCAGAGAACCAGAACAGGATCTAACTTCTAGCTCCAGAGAATCAGACAAGAATTTGATTTTGTCTTTAAAATAATTGTTAGGGAATAAAGACAATCATTCAACACATAGTAAGATCTGTTACTCTTCCTTCTTGCAGAATCCATGTGATGATAAACGACACAAAGACATCTGGTCCAGGGAGAAAACTTGCGACCACTTACCAAAATTCCTTGTAATTGGGCCACAAAAAACAGGTAAGGATAGTGAATTGTGTGCTATTTTTTTTTGTATTAGGCAGCATATCTTTGAATGGAATTATTAGATTAGGTTTTTTGTTGTGAAATCCCTAGGCATTCATGCAAGTTCATTATTAAACTGCTTCTCTTCCTCATTAAGCATCTTTATGTCACAAACCTCAAGAGGACCTTAATGTTGTCATCGATTAGACTTAACAATTGATTACACTTTAACAATAGATTTTAAACCTTTCCAACACATACCTTGTCTTCATCACTTTCCTTTCACTGTGACACAATACATGACACCTATAATTTAGAAGAGGTTTATTTTGCTGATGGTTTAAGTCCGTGGTTACCTGGCTCCAAGGGAAAAACAGGATAGCAAAGGGTCATGGCAGAAGAAAACATGCTCAACCCTTGACAGCCATGAAGCAGAGAGTGAAGGGAGGAGCCAAGAAAAAGAATACACCCTTCTAGGTCAAACCCCAGTAACCCATCTCCAACCAGGCCCCACTTCCCAGCAGCACATTCAGCTACTGAAGTCATCAATGGGTGAATCCACTGGCAAGTATAGCACCCAGTAATCCAATCACTTTCCAAACATGGGAGACTTTGGGGGAATGTTTTAAATCAAAACCATAACATATGCCAAATTTCTGAAAATTTTGTCACAATTGTTCCATCTGATTTTCAATTTTTGCTTTTGGCAGCTTTCCCTAATTAACTTTCTAGTTCACTTTTCTAAGTGATTTGGACAGATTTAAATGCACATCAGCCTATTTTGGTTCAGAGCCACTATCATAATTATTTTCACATATTTTTACATGTGTGGGGGGTTCAAAACAATAATCACTGAGTCTGACTATGGTTTAGACATATTTTTGATATATCTAAAGTTCAGCAGATACTTTTTCCTTGGTATTTTCTCATGCACTGAAGGACAACTGTGTAAGAATGGAGTAAAGGAGAGTCATTTCACCAGAGATGACAATTTCTATCAGAATATTTTATACTTTCTTCAGTATGTGACAGTTTTATACACTTTGCTCATGTTCTGATTAATTAAAATTTTTATTGAGCTGCTGCATTTTGAATTCACTACTTTTGACTAGAAGCCTTTCAACAGAGAGTGGCCAAACCATAACACAAAAGAAACAGCCACAGTAGTAAATAAGCTTGGCCCCAATGAAGATATCAGTAATACTGTAAGTAGATCATTTTAAAGGTTGGGAGCACAATAGCATTATTACTTCTTAGTTCTACTAGGAAATTACAGGTTAGTAACTATGAATCTGTTTTCCCTCCTTGTTGTCTGTACTTATGAAAACAATACATTATACCTTGAGATTTTAATATTTGACCTACCAGTATGGCAATGATAAAGCTCTTAGCTGGTTTTGGCTTTCCCAAGATAAATAAGAAAACAAGCTAAAACAAAGCAATTGGATGATAATATTTTATGTGCCACAAAATATTCTAATATAAAATGATTGTAATAATTTTTAAATTCACTCATAGACATCTGAAGTTATATTTTGTTTCTCATATTGCTTTAGTTGGCAAAGCTTTCACCACTGCCAGAGACTGTAAAATCCCTGGAGGGTGTCACAGATAAACACTAACAATCTGGCATTAAATGTAGTTGCCTTTCAACAACTTAAACATTGTGCATGCATTCTTTTTAGCAAGCAAGATATGCAAAAGTGCTCCTCAAACTCCTATTCTCTTGATTGCTGTGATGTGGGAAGGAAAGAATATTTCTGAATATTAGGAGGATTCTTGTTGGTGAAAATGAGCCATTGAATGAGAGCAAAGAAGGGGCAAAAGCTCAGACTTGATGGTTGCCCTGCATCTAGAGGACTCAGAGTTTAAACCATACTCTTCCTGTGTTCTTTCCAACAGCTCTGCATCCTTCATCTTTCAGAGTCAAATTTCACTATTACTAGTGCAAAAGAGGATTTTTCTAAGAGAGTTTAATTTACCACAGTAATTCTCAAAGCATCATTCATTGGCCTTAAAACTTCCGGAAAGTTGATGTTTCCATTGTCAGTATTATCTTTTCATGATTTGGCTGGCTTGCTTTGGTACATAAAACTAAAGAGAAAAGGATAAGGAGGGTTCCTCTTAGAATAGGACAAAATCTGAAGACTTTTCTCTTCCTTCACAAGATATTTATATTAAAGAAATTGGATAAAAATGATGAAAACATAGGTGATAATAAAATGTAAATACATTTTGAGGTAGTAAGTCTTGATTTTGAGCCTGATAATATGAATATGAAGTCACATGTCAGCTGTCCCTGGTTGGAAGTGTTTTTGCTCTCCTCCCTGTTGGAGGACTCCTGATGCCCTCCAGCTCCCAGCAGCATGGAAGTATAAGGGTCAGAACATAAAAGCTTTGCCTATCTGTATCCCTGGAGAGAACTGGGTACAATTCCACAACCATCGGTGCGATTAAACATTGCTTCGTAGTTCTGAGGGAAGCTAATGGATATTCAGCAATAATTCTAAAATAATCTTTTGTTTCTTCCCTGAATCTGTCTGTATCCAATATTTTAAGAATATTAAACTATCAATTTTCTCAGCTCTCTTGTAGTTCCTACTCCCTCCTTGACCCTCTCCATTCTCATCATAATTTATTTTTTTAAATTAACTTTATTGGTACATTTTAGGTATACAATATAATGATATTCATCATTGGAAATTTGCACCTTTACATAATCTCTCTTGGTTCTTCTTTTTCCCCCTTCCTCTGCCCTCCCTTCAACCCCTCCAGTCCTCCCTATTTACAAAGATTTTGTTCCTATTTTTCCATTATCTCATATTAATCTCATTCCCTTCTTTCCTTTCCCCTACCCCTCCCACTTCCCCTTCCCCTTTGCCCCTTTTCTTCCTTTTTCACATTATCTATTATACCTTTTAGTCCTTATTTACACTTTCAGTTTCTCACACTAGAGAAACTATTTGGTATCTACACGTGTGTGTCCTATTTATTTCACTTAAGAGTATCACCTTCTCATCATAATTTAAATACATTTACAGAGCCCTCAGCTTAAAGAAAAAAACATTTAAAAGACCCCTCTGGATTCCATGCTCCCTTCCAGCTACTACGCTGTCTCTAGTTCATGTCCTCTCCCTGGGAAATGTTTGTTCCTTGGTCATATTTTTTACTTTTTGAATTCTTATTATTTCAAGAACAAATCAGATTGGTTCTTTAAAACTCCACTCATCCTTCATAACTTCTACACTTGTATTTTCCAGCATAGTTGAGGTGATTTTCTCACTGGTCTAATTCAGTTCTTAAGCAGTTCTTAAGCTATTCTTTCTTCATTTTTTCAAAACTTGAGATTTTATGATTTGATTCTATAATTGTTATTCTCCAAAAAGTTTTTTTGAGTTAGTAAATAACTCTCTCATTAGGGCACTTCTTAGTTTTTGCCACACTGTTAACTAGAAGCCACCCATTCTAGTTGTTTTCATATATCTAAATCCATTGTTCCTTTCTTTCCTTCAGCTACTCATGCCCATATTCGAATAATCTTTTTATTACTTTTGTACTTGACCCAACTTCACAGGGGGATTCATTTTATTGAGAGTAACACCTGTTTTTGTTTTGTTTTGTTTTGGTACCAGGGATCGAGCTTGGGACCTTGCAGTTGTGAGGCAGGCAGCAGAACCACTGAGCTAAGTCCCTGGCCCCATCACATGTATTTTTAATCAATAGTTATCACCAATCATTACTCCAAGGCTATACAAAGGGTAACACATTACCATCTGTTGAACAGCTTCACTTACTTGAACTAAATTTAAATGGTGCTGAGAACTCACCAGTTTCAGATACCATGCCTAATACTAGAAATAAAAGTAGAGATACCTCATGACCTTCAAGCTTTAGCCACTCACTTGACTCCAGAAGAGAACCTGAATCATATCACTGTGGATCTGCTAAACTTTGGCTACATACTGATATTAAATCTCATACTTAGGTAAATAGAACCACATAGACAAATATAAGAATAATTAGATTGTTACCATATGAAATGTACCTAATGGATGCTAAAGAAAATATTTTGACACTAAAAATATTGTCTTCTCTATGTTGCTTTTTGAACAATATGATATTTTGTCTCTTCTTTTATTATCATATATCCTTTACCTTCTTTTTCTGTAATAGGGACAACTGCACTTTACTTATTTCTTCTTATGCATCCTTCCATCATCAGCAATCTTCCCAGCCCCAAAACATTTGAAGAAGTTCAATTCTTTAATGGCAACAACTATCACAAAGGAATTGACTGGTAAGAAAAATAATGAAAAATAAACTTTATTATTAACACGTGCTCTACCACTACTCGGCAATCATAGATATATACATGACATCTGCATAATTACAGTATAATTTTGTTATGCTCAACTCCACCACAGTGAATTAGAAATTAATTTATAATGATGATTTGTTTAATCAGTGTTGCATATAATTTGATTTGGATAATGCAATAATGATAATGTTTTTCTGGTAAGTTAATATGATTGAATAAATAACATTATAGGACATTTTTCATCAGAATTATTCATAAGAATATTTAAAATTCTCCTTAAACCCACTATTATTTTACAGTGCCTAATTTTTTATTAAACACATAATTTGTCTTCACAGTGATGTTTGAGGAAACAAATAAATCAGTACACTGCTAATTTTATACTGTGTGACATGTGTCTTCATTAACCACATAAACAGTATGTGTTGTGTTACAATGTATGCTGATATTTGTCATGCAAATAACAGCAGAGCATTTCCAAAACCATATCAATTCTAGGCACATGCACACATGAAAGAAATATTAATTAGCACTTGATAAATTATGAAAAATTTAAAGTCATAATATTTTCTATAAAATTGAATAAATTTTATATTGGACATGATCTTTACTCTGGTGATTTTTGTTCTACTTCTCTCCCTGTTTTCCATGAAAATATGGTCTTGATTTTAATTTTAGTTCCCAGGTATGTAAAACAAATTTCACTTAAGGAAAAGTTCCCCAGTATGCACATTTGTGGTAACTTTGTATGCCATCATCACGTATATCTGTTTTCCTTGAAAGACCTATTCTTTTTATATATAGCTAGCATCAGAGTCAGGTAAGGGCAATCCCAGTAAGCAGCTCTGGCTCCCTGTCATGAGTAGATGTATCCACTCTACATCTAGAGTATTACTACCCTAAAGTACTCTCAAAAGTCTAAAAGAGATTTGGAATTGCACACAAGCTATTAAAGACAGAACAGTAATTTTCCCTGATCTGTGAGCTCAAATGGAACATAGATTGTTAAGCAGGAATATAGATGAGATTCTTCAGCACTCCACATTTGGGAAACATAATAACAAATGTCAAAGAGGAAAATAAGAGTCTTATATGAATTCTTAATTGCTCCCATTATTTATTTCTAGAACATTTGAGGGTTAGAGAAGTGATGAGCTATAAGGAGGGTTACACACATAATTAAAGCCTTGTACTAAATTAACCTCAGAACATATTGATTCCCAAATCTACGCACAGAGGAATGTTCTGACAGCATATGGAGGAGTAAACCTACCAAGGCACCACAGGATCAGCTGGCAGGAAATATCTGCTTAATTACTCTAGATAGACTATAATATGCTCATATTGCTACATATACCACAAATTATGCAGAAGTCAAAAAGGAGAACAGCTATTCCTTAATCTGTTTAGTATTTTATAGCTATTTTGACTTACATGTCTTTCTGTCTTGAGAACTTTAATCTTACCTTAAGAATTTCTGCATTCAAATTTGCAAGCACATTTCTATTTTAAAATATCAGTTAAGCAAGATGATATAATTTTTGTTTGCCAGGAGTAAACAATATTTCTGGATTTGGCTTTCAGTAGCACAGAATATCATTTCAAATCTGTAGTATTTTCTGTTTGTTCCTTATCAGCCTACTCATTTCATTTCACTCCTTTCTATGCCCAAAATGAGTCATAGAACAAGAATATTTGGGGGTTTTTTAATCATATTTAAAATGTATGAAATGTCCACTATTTGAACTGCTTTATAGCAGAATAATTACAAACTGGTATAAATGAATGTAAAAACATTTAAACTACTTCTTAGCAGAAAATGGTGAGAAAAAATATCTCAGGTTAATTATCTCTCTCTGCCTTCAGGTATATGAACTCTTTCCCTACTCCATCCAACATTACTAATGACTTTCTATTCGAGAAGAGTGCTAATTACTTCCATTCAGAAGATGCCCCCAAGCGAGCTGCATCTCTTGTCCCCAAAGCCAAGATCATCACCATCCTCATCAACCCTTCAGACAGAGCTTATTCATGGTATCAGGTATGAGAAAAGGAAAATACTGCTAAAAGCATTCAGTTGTAGCTTGAATGTAGGTGATGGTAAATCATCAAAACAAAGCCCAGACACACTGAAGGGTCAAGTGTAAAAATATGTAAACTAGGGCCAGGGATTTAGCTCAGTGGTTCCAGCATCTGCCTCGCAAGTGTAAGGTCCTGAGTTTCATCCCCAGTACCAAAAAAAAAAAAGAAAAGAAAAAGAAAAAAATATGTAAACTAAATCAAAACAATGCATAAGAAAAGTTGAATATTTAACTCATACCAAATTGGACAAGGACTTCCAATCATAAACAAAAAAGCATACATCAAAGAATTAATAGATTGTATCAATAATTATAAGCATGTAAAATATTGCCATATAAAAATTTAACAAAAGTAAAAGTCAGTATCTAAGGAGGGCATCTTTAATAAGCACATGGTAAATGGCTTAACATTATGGATTCAAGCTACATCCATTCTCCTATAAATGACTCAAATTTATCCTCCTTTATAGTGGAGTAGTGCTCTGTTGTGTATAAGTAACACATTTTCTTTATCCATTCATTAGCTGATTGATATAGGCTGCTTGCAAGATTTAGCAATTATTAATTGTGCTGCTGTAAACATGAGTGTGCATGGGCTGTAATATGATGTCTTTAATACTTTGAGGAAAATGCCTAGTAGAAGAATAGCTGAGTCAAATGGAATTTCTATTTTTAGTTTTTTGAGAAATCCCCATACTGATCTCCATAATGGTTTTACTAGTTTGCATTCTCAACAAAAATGTAAAAGGGTTTTTTTCCCCACAGCCTCTCCAGGATTTGTTATTATTTGATTTCTTGATGATAGTCATTTTTTCTGTAGTAAGCTGGAACCTCAGTGTAGTTTTCATTTACATTCAATTTTTGAGCAATAAAAATCCTTTGAAAATGGTAACCAGTGTGTGATGACCAGATTTCCTTTTAAGCATTACAGATTTTCCTCATTTAATGACCTATTTGTTTAACAACTTTGTGGACTTACAACCAAGGCACACTCTTTGGACTTAAAACCCACCACTCAGACTTATGACCCATCTTTTTTTTTTTGTACAGTTAGGTACATCTTGTTGATAGACCCTCAATGTCTTTTTTTAAGGACAGTACACTTTGTTTATACAGTACTGTAATTTTTGCTGTTTGTACTATATAGTACAATTTTGTGATTTTATGTACTATTAAACATCATGGTACAACATGTAAGAGTTATGCAAATAAAAGTAAAGTAATCAAGTTAGAAATTCCTTTTGCCATTTCTTTGTTCTGAATATTGTAATTTACATGTATACACAATTACTCATTTAGTGACCCATTCATTTAATTACCTAGTGGCAGGAACTCAGTCATGCCTGTATATTATTTGCTGTTTAAATAAAGGACCAGAGTAGGACAAAGCGTCACTCATTTGTCAAAGTAAAAGTAAAGTCAAAGTAAAGGCTATGGTAGTAGGCCTGAGACTGAGAAATGGAGATCCACTAGACAGAGACTAAGTAGAAACTGAAGGAAATAAAAGGTATTATTGAGTGTTTAGGGATAGAAATCAATTAGAAGTTGGTGAGGAAATATCAAGGATAACCAAGTTTCCTTCCAACCTAGGCGACTGGGTAATGGCCACATGTTCCCATGCAACAAGAAGCACTGGAGAAGAACACAGGAGGTCTCTAGTGTGGTGAGAAATAGAAGGCTTCAGAAATAACAATCATGTCACATAGATCCCTACCTTAATGGGAAGGAACAGCAGAGTTAGCTGGCACTTTGGGATGATATCTGAGGTGGAAACAGAAATTTGTGAATCATAAACATGAAGCCATGGTCACACACATAGTAAAATCATCAAAGGAGAAAGTTTAGAGTGCAGAGTAGGATGAGGCAGCAAGAGAGACAAACAAATACAGCCAGAGTAGAAGAAATCCAGGCTCGCAGAGACATTAACTCCAAGAGGAGGACAAATGCAGGCTATAACACTGCCAAAATCCCAAGAAATCAGACAATCAAGCAAAACAAAGCTCAAGTTATTTTCATTAGATTGAAAGACAAAGAAGGCCTCAACAACAAAGCCAGGTACATCTGGCTGAGGATCAAGTAAGAGGGAGAAAGGAATAGTAGCAGTCTTTGCAAATGACTCCAAAAGTGTGATTTTGAAGGGGAAAAACAAGACATAGGCTTATTTCATAGGAGTTGAAATGAGTTCACTGTAAACTTGTATAGTGGTGATGATTCGAATTAAAATGGAGTAATTCCAAAGAAAAAGAAAAATTAAAGGCTCAGGAGAGAAAGTGACCAATCAACCCTGTGAAGTTTCAGGAAAGAATGGCTATAGTAAATAGTTGAATAAACAGAAATATATCATAAAACAAAATTAAATACATAGAATTGAGAACAAAACAACTTATAAAATGTAATTTGCAGAATATTTTTAAACTAGTGATATTCTTATTCATTAAGCCATTAAATGACAAGTTCTAAAGGCAAATCTTACACTATTAGAATTTTAACATCTTTATATATCTGAAAAACCATTCATGTGATATAAAAATAACTGATTTTTAATGGCAGCAAAATCACAGATTCATGAATTATTTTGTTTATTGTCCATATTCACAATTAAAGGAAAAGGTGAATTCCATTTAGAGATTACTGAAAATAAAGAGGCCATCTTTTGTTGATCTAACCTCATAGATTATACCAGATCCTATTAGTGAGCATCTGTCTAAGAAACCCTGGGTTGAAATTTGAGGAATAGAAGACAGGATGGATGTAAATGCTGGTGAACTTAAAGCCCTGACATAGAGAAATCACAGTGACTATGATGGTCTGTCCTCAGAGATGTCTAGAAGGAGTTAACCTGATGAAAAGTAGAGCAATTGTTTAGGGAGGTAGCATTTTGAAAAGAGAAAAGGGTAAGTGGATTGAAATCATTGCAGTGAGTGGGATGAATTTGACCACAGAAACATAAAATTGCTTATAGCAGTGATAGCTTAATTAAAATTGGTGATCTTGGACTATGATGATAATAGTGCATATATATATATATATACACACACATATACATATATATACACATATATATGTATACATATATATATAAATCCCAAATGCATGAGTGCATTTTGTATATGTGTGCATTTAATGCATATAGAAAACAATTGCAAAGTAAATGAAAAGATTAAAACAGAATTTTAGGAATATAAAATAACAAATATTTTTTTTAAATTTGGCTTCTTTTTCTTTTCTAAATTTCTTCAAAAATATGCATTACTGGTAGATAAAAATATGACACTGCAAATTAGGATTAAAAGTATTTGGTTATCCCAGTGCAACACTTGAACTGGAAACAAGATTCATTAATCAGGATGCATGAATCAGTATTTTCCACAAGATACAAAAAATATGTTTTTCTCACTTTACAAAAACTCATGTTCAATGAAAGGTAAATTTATTCTTTAAAGATTCCAAAAGCATTAAGATGTTAATGTTTTTAATTAAAAGCTTTGAATTCAAATATTTGGAGCAAATGTTGAAGATTTTTCTAGCAGAAAGCATTATCATTCCTTAGAGTGGATTAAAATAAATCTGATTTTCACATAGATTAAATCATTTAAATAAAATAAAATCTATATGAAGTGAGTGCTTCTTTGTGCCTAATTTTTCAAATGAATTCTTTGAAAATACAGGCTTAAGAGGAATTATTTTTTCTGATAGTCCTTTTTATTGCCATGTTGCTGAGCATAGGGTTCCAAAGTGCTCCACATTTCAAAATAATGTAGCCTATTCCTTAGCTAGTCCTGTCTATTCAGTAAATACCATAAATCCAAAGCTCAGCAGGTGTAATTCAGAAACTCCTACAAATGTCACCTGCCACTGTAATTTCTACCCCACATTTTTATAATGGACCTCACAGAGGAACTAAAGTGCTATTTTTCCCATAAAATATGTCCCTTTGTGACTTCCTGGTCATATTTTTATGCTAATCTTTTTAGGTTCAGGAAAATGAAGAAAAGTTGGTGCTAAACTGGTATAAGTCACTGTAGAACAGATTAACTACAGTTCCATATTTTCACTGCTTATAATAAAAAATTTTGCATTATTTATACTATATGCATGTAATTATTTCTAATTCTTATTTAAGTTATGTAATTCTATACATTTTATTGAGTGAATTATGTTTTTGTATATATTTAGCATAATTCAGCAGATTATGTAATCTGTATATATTCAGCAAGTCAATAAATGACCAATAATAAGACTTTTATTATTCCCACCAATCTACCACTACTAGTTACTCTTTAACCATTCACCATTGCTTGAATCATTGTTATTTCTTTTCTTTATGTTGCTTCTAGCTAGCACACCCGGCCTATTACTATACAATGGTATCAGGCCCCAGTATATTTCCATCCTTATGCTTCACTAAATTTTCTTCATACTTACTTTTAGATATCACACAATACCAATTCACTTAACCCCACACACTTCATCCATCCTCACTCAGAATTACCTAATATAATAAGGTTTTCTTAGTTTCCACATTTGTTTACTCTTTCCTAATTATCAAAATCTTTCTCATGACATTTTAGCTCAATAACTTTGGCCATTGAAAAGGGTCTTTTCATGTGTCAGTCAAAACTAATCTTTCATGGCCTGGTTACCATAAAGGGAAAACTTATACCTCTACTTAAATATATGTCTTTGTTACAATCTATTACTCTGGCCTCTTTTACACTGGATTTGATTTCTTTGAAGACAAAGAGTGTGTCATACTTATGCCTTTTTGTCTCTGGGATATATTTCTGTTCTTTGTTCTAGAAAGATGCCTAATCTAATAAAGATGCCTAATGTGATGCTTGTTAAATTTCATTGATGTTAAATTCATCTTACATTGAGTTGGGCTCTCTACTGCTTGACCAATGATGGTTTGGTATGAAATACTCAGAACTGGTACTGAAATTAGGAGCGAAGCTACATTTGGAAATTAGCAGTATTAGTTGAAGAGCAAAAGGATCGTGGGCAACAGCAACACAAATATGACAGTTAAACAAGCATTAGGATAGACATCTGCTTTCTCATACCTGGAGCACCTGCTACACAGAGAAACTGAGGAAGTGTCAGAACCTTGCAGGAGAAGTTGTAATGAAACAAGAGTCCAAATCATACTTAAACCCACTCCCGCCCGTCCAAATCTCTTTTCATCCAGCTTGGTTTATCTGCTCCTTCATATTATTTCACTGGTAAACAGACACATGAAGAATGTCCTTCCATTCTGTCTCTGCTTTAAACCTAAACACTTTAGCTATAAATATAATCACAATCTTATCTTCATATCACTTGATATATACAGAAGGCTTTAAAGTATTTACCTAATAAAGTTAATGTGTTAATGCCCATTTGAAACACATGCAATTTTTACCAAATCCATTATCATCTTTTAAAAGGAATTAATTTTTAACATTATTTTGTGAAATAGACACACACCTCCACAAAACATTTAAAAAGACAACTTTACTGTTGACATTTTTGTTCGCAGCACCAGAGATCACATGAAGATCCAGCTGCCTTGAGGTTTAATTTCTACGAAGTTATTACAACAGGACATTGGGCCCCATCTGACTTAAAAACTTTGCAGAGGAGATGCCTTGTACCGGGATGGTATGCAATCCATATTGAAAGATGGTTAACCTATTTTGCTACTTCTCAGGTAATCCTCTGAAATTAATGTTTGCTGTTTATTACATCATGATTGTGTCTTTCTGACAAATAGAAAATGTGAATCAACATTTCCACAGATAGCAATTTATCGTCAGAGACAATGATAATGAAAAAAGAAATGTGGATTTCTACATTTTTAATTCAACTAATTATTTTCATACTGGAGATGGATCCTAGAGCCTTCACACTCCACTATATCCCCAACCCTTTTAATTTTGAGGCAGAGTTTCACTAAGTCACTAAATTGCCTAGGCTGGGGTCAAACTTGGGATCCTCCTACTTCAGTATCTGAGTGTTGGGATTACAAGTGTGTACCACCATGCCTGGTTTAATTTCACTGTTATTTAAAGTAGTGTTAAATGGCTCTGAAACACATTCTTGGGATCTTCTTTTTAATACCAGCTGGCCTCAAAGTAAGACTTTCTCTGAAAAGAGATGTCACAAGATTTTTAGGTAGCAATTATCAATGACTAGTAGAACACTTCCTTGGACACAGTTTGCAGAACTCAATGTGCAGATTCCCACTTGCTGTCTGTGTTATGGCACCAGTCTAAGGATGGAAAGAGCTCATGCACTAGTCTGACATGATGGGAAGTGCTATAACAGCTCCAGAAATATGGGATAGAAACAGACAAAAGATTTCAGGAAAGATAAGTGTTCATTATCATTCAAGGGAAAGTTAAAGCCTCAGCAAGTAGACTTCAGCATTGACTTTTTTATTAAACATCCCTCAGGCAAATCTGATATTCTAGGGTAATGAAAGAAGGTCATAAAGTCAGGAACCAACATTTTCCCCTATCCCTTGTCATGGTTTGGAAGAACAGATGGATCATCATCTGAATGATCATTATTTCTAAGCCCATGTCTCCAAGGTTAGCTCATGGGATTTAGCTGGCTAGTTAATCCAATCATCCTACAGTTGGAAAAATCAAGAGAGTGTCCATCTTTATTTCTCATATAGAGTAAAGAAGTTAAGGGCTTTAACTTAATAATGCACACAGACACATAAACAATTGCCTATGCCAAACTTCAATTATTGTTAATGTAGAAGGATGCAAGAATCATAAACAACTAACTGTGTTCTAAGTAATGCACATTTTCTTCCTGTTCAAACTGACCTAATTTAATGCCATACCAGGTCAAGGGAGGCAGCTCAGTCCATTCAATTTAGTTTTGTTCTTCATAAGGTGACTATTTTTGACTTCACAGTTGCTAATTGTTGATGGACAGCAGCTGAGATCTGACCCAGCTACTGTGATGGATGAAGTCCAGAAGTTTCTGGGAGTTACACCTCATTATAATTACTCTGAAGCACTAACGTGAGTCTATTCTCGTGCTTCATTTCATTTCCATTATTTACCATCATAAATTATCAATGGTAGGTGTGTGTATAACATCATTAATACTAGCCATGAATTTGTGTATCATTTTACTACTCAAAAGCAGTCAAAGAAATATCATTATTCATGTAGCATCTCCCTTTAGAATACCAGAAATGATTTATCTTATAAAATATCATAGATATATTATCTTAGGATAAGTTCTCCTATTGTCAGCTTTTTCTCATTATCAGTTTGGTAAACTGAACTTTCTACATACCTGTTTGGACAGAAAGTGTCATAGAACTTGAAGTTACAAAGGTGAAAAAGACATAGTCTCATCCTTTTAGAAATTTTTAAGTTAGAAATTAAGTACCAATGACCATCATTCCCTCTGAAAGTGATCAGCATTTGGGGCAGGATTAGAAAGAAGTACATTCAAGTTTTATTCTATATTTATAAATTATTTATAATCAAATGCAATCACATATAACATTCCAATATTCTATTGTTTTATTGTTTACATATGCCAAACCTACTGGCATATGATGACAACCATTGTGTTATGTTCATGCATTTTATGGGGCAGAAATTAGGATACAGCAAGGATAGTTTGCCTTTGTTCATGACATGTGAGGCTACAACTGGGAAGACTTGATTCCCTGAATATGATTCAAAGGACTGCAGACTGAAATCGTCTGGAAGCTTCTTTACTTACATATTTGGCTCCTGAATCAAAGGACTGCCTGTGTTGCCTCTGCCATATGATACCAGGCTTTCTCATAGTGTAACAGCTGTGTTCCAAAGGGAGTGCTATGTCAAGGGAGCCTGTGGTCCCAGAGAATCATAGTCTTTGACCTAGACCTGCAAGTCACACGGCATTGTTCACACTGCCTTCTATTGGTTATAGCAGTCACTAAAGTCAGTCCAAATCCAAGGGCAGGAAATGAGACTCGATCTCTCTTTTTTTTTAATTAAATTCTTTTATTGGTACATTGTAGGTATACAACACAATTACATTTCTCATTGGGAATTGTACCTTTACATACTGCATCTTGGTTCTTATTTTTTCCCCATCCCCATTCATGCCCTCCACCCTTCCCTATTTACAAAGACTTTATTTCCATTTT